AGAGAGAGAATTATGTAAAAAAAACCGTATTTCTTCAGTTAACTTTTGAGAAAAGAATTATATTTTAAAAGCAATTTACTAATTTACATTTATTCAGAATTTTTTGTGGACACTGCTCTTATCTTGTAAAGATAATTCTTCCGTCCAGTCCACGTTAAAATCTGGTGGTGGGATATTATCAGTGTCCGGTTCCTATCTTTATCCGCAAATAAAAGTGTAGTCTTGATAATTTGAGTGTCAGTCCCATAAGAAACTAATTAACATTTGCTTTTCACACGTTAGGTATAATTGTCAATAGACGTAACTTTCACGTACAAGAATTTGTTGTTTCGAATTCATCGACGAAGCACAGGCGACCTTCTTATCGTTCCATAAACCGTGGATAGTAGGCTATTCTCGTTCGTATTTTCGATGTGTACCGCAACGTTGAGACCGTGTCTCGCATGATTCCGTTAATAGATTAGTAACGTGAGAGGGTGGCGTGGGAGAAAGTAGTGCGACCATAATTAATCGTTTCCCCTGCTTGGGAACCCCAAGCTGTGAAGAGGCTTCAGTCTCTCCGATCTCTAACTGTACAACCTCTATAGAGAAAAATCGTATTTGCAACATTTATGTAACCTCAACATTTGCAACACGGTTCAGGTGAAACAGATAACCAGTAGTTTGGAGGAGGAACGCATCTGGGCTCAAGAACTCGAGAACGAGAGGGACCAACTTAGAGAACGATTAGACGTGGAGGTGCGACTCCGCGAGAAGCAGGACACGGATCGTATGCGAGATATCGACGAGTTGCGTGAGAAGGTGAAAGATTTGGAGGAGCAGCTATTCAAGAAAGACACCTCTATGCAACAATACAAAAATGACCTCGTCGAGCGCGACAGACTCGTCAAAGAGAAGAGCGCGTTGCTGCTGGAAAAGTGCCAAGCGTACGAGGAGCTCAACCTGGTCTCCGAGAAGAGGAAACAGCAGATCGTTCAATTGAGAGCGTCTGTAAAGACTCGTGACGACACCCTCACGGATCTAAACTATAAGCATCGCATGTTGTTATCACAGGTGAACTAGTTTTTACCTTTATGACAGAGTCTTGATCTTAATTTGAAAAGTAAGATTTGATTAATAAAATATAAAAAAATTTGTTATAACAGAAGTATTATTTTACGCGATTTTCACTGATTTATCGATCTTCTTTATAAGTATCATATTTAACGCTTTAAATGGATCTATTTATGAATCTTGACTGGTAGCTAGACTGGTTGCATATAATGGATGGTCTTTGAATAAGATAGATAACACATTTAGTGCTAAATACGTGGTGAGAATGCGGCCTCAGTTATCTCAGGCCTGCTTCTGTCTTAAATCTCCCATAATTTTCTCATATTGCCCTATCCGTTATAATTACCGTTTATCTACATTGTAGTGTGAAAATGGATATGGTAAACGCTCACCGTCCAGCAGCCCCTCTGCTTTGAATTCATTAGCGTGCCGTTTATCGCCGCCTATGGGGCAAAAACCGTCTTGTGTTCGTGACATAATGGATATGGATAGTACGTATACTGATTTGGAATCGTACAGAGAAAAAACGGTGAATTTATTATCACCTCTGCAAACGATCGGCGAAGATACCAAAGAATTTAGCCAATTAACAAAGGTTAGTGATCTTGACAAAGATTAAACATTTCTCATTAACTTACTATATATGATAAGACAATACGTGTTTGATTATAGGAACTAGAAGAAAGAGACAATGAATTGAAGCGGCTAGAAGAGGCAAGGAAGCAATTGGTACTCAGACTGTGTAACACGCAGAAACACGCGGAAAATACAGAGCAGAGACTGAAGAAGATTGAAAGCGATCACAAGAAAGCTATCAAAGCGATACAAGGCTTCATGGAGCGTGAAGAACAGATGCGAGATTGGAACGTGCGGAAAGAACGGAGGATCCAAGAATTGGAGATGGAGTTACGCAAGTTGCTGGGCTCCGATGACACGAAGGTGAGAAGGGACGAGCACGATCTCGTCTTGTTGAAGGACCTTGGCGTTATAAACGTGGACGGCAACGAGAACAATTCCTACAAACAGGTCAATATTGCGATTTATTTGGTTTGAATTTTTGTTGGTCCCTATGTTTCTATGTAACGAAACATGAAGATACTTTGCTTGGTGAGAAGCACGATCGGACAACTCAATATATCGGACTCTTTCTTTTAGAATCACTGAATTCATCTAACTTCTACTTCTTTCTTTCTATTTTATGGCATTATTACTATCATTGCATGATTCTCTTATTGTTTGGGATTATATATTAACTGATTTAATTCAAAGTGGAAATTGTCATCGAATTTATTACATAACACTTTATTTTGAATTTTTTTGATCCATCTTGTGTTTTATAGTTTTTTTATTGTTGAAAATGTTTTCTGATATATTACCAGCGGATATTTTCTAACTTACTGATTATTTAATGAGTATAAGAGATAATATACTTTCTTTCCTTTTTTTATAGGAACCTAAGTAGGATTATCGTGCGACTTAATTTGCACGTAATATACATCGGAAACAAAATAATAAAAACTAATATTTCTAAAAGTTCAGACTTTATAAGTACTTCTTATTATTTTATTATGTTAAATATTAGAAAAAAATTATCAATTTACTCAGTTTCTTCAGTTTCTTCATTTAACCTGCTTTGATGACAAAATTATCGCGCCCGTTTCCGAAAGAGTCGCGAACGTGTCGGTCGGCGAAAGATCCCCGATCTTAAACCGTGGCCCGCTTGGTATCTTGGGAATATCTTGGAGAAGACGCGACCGTAATCTATTAATAGAGGCCGTCGTCTCTCTTCTCGCAGCTTCTTACGGTTTACGCGTTGCGCTACGCGGCAGTCCTCGTACGAAAACTCACCTCGACCGATCTGCCGCCGCTGTCGCGGTAGCGCCGAACGAACAATAATACACAAGTACAGTAATACGAGCAACAAAAGAGACAGATTCGTCGCCAATCTTCCAACCCTCGGGTATTCGAGAAAGACTTGCGTATACTCTGAAAATATATAACGTACGTCACTAAGTCTTATTTCAATCGATATAGCGAAAGTTACTACTTACTGACACACATGTAGAGAGTAAACAAGAATTTTCTATTTAAGTAATTCGCGTGAAAATTAACAAAATATTCATTGATTCAAAACTTTTCTTTTTTCCAAGTTGTGAATAAGGTGGGCGAAATGTTATATTAATGATGTAAATTTTTGACTAATTGCAATCACAGGGAGCTGTAGCAAATCAGAGGTAGATATTAAAACTAACCAGTGGACGCGAAGAGATAGTTGATACCGACGTAATCTTTGCGGAAATAGATATTCACCAGTGCTTCGTGATCGAGTTAGCATTGACGTAGAGTATCTATCCATAAATCGATCGATTGATCATTTTGCTTTCATTTCTGCCCCGATTCTGGTTGAGTTTAAAGTTCAGGCATAAACAAATATGTTCTCCTGTCTATATACCTCAATGCGGATGGAGGTAGGTATGGTGCTGTTGAGTGCGTGCTTTCTCTCGATGTCTCGATTGGGACACTACTTGCAGACTGTAAAACTTGTACGCTCTGTTATACAGCATGATTGCATGTTATATTTGATTAATATTTGTCGAGGTGGGTTTTTATTCGAATTATCACTTGTTATGATTTGTAGTGGAGTGTACTGAAGTATTGTTTGAAAAATTGCATGAATTTGTTATTAAAAAAGAAAACACATGTATCGTCAGTCCATATTTCCAAATCTTAATGTATATTTTTACAAAATAGTAATTAAAAATAGAATCGTAATTTCGTACACTTCATATAATTGCAGGCTATATTTTAAAAATATACTATGTAACTTCCAAAATAGTGAATTTCTTTTATGTTAGAAGTAGCAGAAGTTATGACAGAAAACCTGTTTTTCTTTTATAGGGACCGGCGATTGTCACACTTGTTCCTCCGCGATGTTGGTCTAAAAGAACGAAAATTAACAAATAATTGTAACCTAGTCCAAATACATAACTTGCATGTAATCTTTTGACAATCCATTCTTTGGTTTAACATTTTTCAAAACCTATCAAAAATTCTCCACATTAAACATGTGAATTTAATCGTACTGTAATCGAAATTATATCATTAAATAAAATGTTTTCAGTGAACCTAGTAGTTTGGTTTTTATTGACGAGAACGATACTTTATGCTTGCAGCAACGTTTCGAAGAAATGGAAAGCAACATTAATGATTTGAGGGGCGAAATCGAGACAATAAAAACTGAGAAGAATCTCTTGGAAAAACGAATACAGGTTGAATCTGAAGTAAGTTTACAAATATATTTTATTACTCAATATTGATATGATATAGAAATTATGTATACGTATATATCTAAGTCCAGTGTAAATAATTCAACTTGCATAATTAAAAAATACTCTTATATTTTTACGTTTCTATTTTATAAAATTAAACGTATGTTAAAAATATGTTCAAGAATTTTAATTATATTACAATTTTACTTATTTTTATGGGAGTCAACTTGGTTTTTATCTCTTGTTTCAGGAACTACAAGGACGTCTTCACGATAAAGAGCAGAAAATCGAAATACTAGAGACTGAAAAGCAGACTGTTGCGAGAGAATTAACAGACAAAATCATTGAACTAGATAAACTCAAGCATGCTGAAACGAATACCAGTATCATCGAGGATGATGCTCCGCAAAAAGAAGAACTGCTTGAACAACTGAAAGTACAGAATACCGAGATTGAGGAGAAAAACCGAAAGATCGAACAACTGACGAAGGAGCTGCAGGTGAAAACTCAGAATCTGCAGAAGCTAGTCAACACAGAGCTCTGGAGCAAGAATAAGGAGATCGCCAAACTGCATAATCATATGACAGCGTCGTACAACCCTGACAGAAGCCGCAACAAGCCGGAGGCCGTTCAGGAAAATGGTAGTTTGCAACTGACATGTCTCATTCGCGAATTAAACGAGATCGGTATCAAAGCAACCTTTGCGAACGAGACCGCTCATCTGAATTACATCAACGAAGACGGGACGGTGGACATGAAGACGTTAAGAGAATACGTTTGTAGGCTGACGAATCAGAAAAACGATCTCGAAAAGGAGGTAGACTACCTGAAGTGGCTGAAACTAGTCTCGAAACCCGACATCAATATGGAGATCGACAGTTGTGAAGACGACAGTGAATGGGCGAAGAAATACTGCGAGCTATTGCGCACACATCTTAAGGATCTCATGAAGTTCATGAAAGAAATGCTAAAGAACGCCGAACGTGCAGACACTGCCGGCACGGAGCACAAAAAGATGGTATTGGACGTTCTGCTTAATTCGAAGATGCTGTCGGACGATTTTGTACGTGCTCTCGATGACGTATCCACACAGGATAGCGTAATCGCGAACGATAGACTCGAGTGTTCCATAAAGAAGACTCGACCCGAAGACGTTGCAGAAGCGATGAAGAATCAAGCCTCACAGTCGGACTCCGAGGCGTTCTCCGAACCTGATCGAACGGTTTCCATGGCTAGAATTGGGTTACAAGAGACGCAACACAAGACTCCAAGCCGATCCAGATTCTCGAAGTATATAGCGAAGACTTGCAGCGACTCTGAAGACTCGACAGATTATGTGCCTTATTATAAAACCTACCAGAACGATATAAACGATCTGGATACGAGTCACCAGATACAGGAATTGAAGGAAACGAATAATATGTTGTATTCGGAACTAAACGCCCTGAGGAACGATCTGGTTACTAAAGTCTCTTTTGACTGTGTAAGTAGAATTATATATTTTCAAATAATATTCAATAGGTCTTCAGAAATTGAAATTTAGAATATATGTAGAATTACATTTTAAGCATATAAATTGAAATTAATATCTAATCAGAGTACTTTAAATGATACACTTGAAATATTGAACGTGCATTCATTTTTCTCTTTAGGCAATCGACGAAAAATTAACTCCTTTTATTACGAAATTAGAAAAGTCTCAAAGATTTTGCGAAAAGTTACAAGTTTCTCTAGAAAAAAGAATACACGAGTTTCACACCTTGAAAAAGCAGAACAGCATTCGCAAGACGCAATTGGAGAAAAAGATCAATGACATGGAACAGATGGCAAGCGAAATGACTAAACAGAAGACTGAATTGTTGCAATTCAGAGATAATACTGAGAGGAAAACGACGGATACTTTGTTGATCCTTAACAAAGAAAACGAATCGGTATCAACACTTCTTTCATACGCTGCTTTGTAAGAATTCGTGGGAGAACTCAATAATTTGATTTTCAGTTACGAGCAAGAATTAAACAGCTGGAAGAGGAAAACGAAACTGCCAAAGCAACCATATCCATCCTCAGGAAAGAACTGGAACACCTCACTCTTTCGCATAGTGAGATATTTGTGGAGAATAGCAAGCTAACTAACGACAAATTGAGGCTCGAACAGGAAATTAGAAAAATGGAGAGCCGATACGACGTAACCGTCCGCTCGTTGCATGACAAATTCAGCAAAGAGGTAAGTGAGAACACATATTAGTCCTTGGTGTCGTTTCCCCGTGCGTGTGTTATTACTTACACGTGATGCATTCATTGTACAGATATCCGATTTGAATCAGATCAATGACTCACATAGAGCAAGAGTACAGGAACTCGAGACCGCAAATAAAGAGTTTAGAAGGCACATGGCGGTGTGCGAGGCTAGCGATTCGGCGCCGAGCTCTAGCGGGGTATCGTCGATACCCACGGACACCACACTCAAACAAACTTGCGAAGACATCCTGCAAGAATATCAACCTTATAACGTTAGTTTAAATAGACAATTTCTAACATTAAATGTCTAGTGGGAAGACCTAGATTGAAGTTTGAGCTTTTTTAAGTAACCTTTAAGTCTGAGATACTCGCACAATGTGTAATTACTTGAGAGCTTTGTATAAAATATGATTGGTTTAGTATTAATAATTGGTTTAGTATAAATAATTGATTTTTTCCACTATTGACTAATATTAACAAAATTACACAAATTGTGAATTATACGTAACTGATATATGATAACCATATCATTCTAATAAAACTATTGATATTCTAATAAAACTAAATAATTGCATGATAAATTTATATCGTACATTCTTTCGTTTTGTTGTATTTGGGAACTTTTATTAACAATTTTAATTGCTAAATGTAAAATATAGTTCTTAATTTGCAGAACTCGCAGTATTGGCAACTGACGAATTATTCTACTATGGGAGCGCGCAGCAAGTCTAGTTGTTCGCCGGATTTAGGAATAGAAAGCGACGCCGCTGTCACTACTGTGAGACCCTTAAAAGATACATTAAAGATCACGGAATCGATGACTAATTTGCTGAGCGATGAGGAGAATGGGAATGGTAATCACAGAGCTCGAGACGCAAGTAGCCAAAGTCCATTACCGATAGAAGGTACATTTTAAGATAAACATTACTTTTTTTAATAGTTATTTTGTCGTATTAATTTTATTATTTTCTTTATTAATATATTATATTTTTTGTGTATAATAGTTTTCAGATTTACTTTTAACTGATAAATCAATTAAAAATAAAGTCTTATGACTTTTTTTATAGGTCTTGACGAGGTGGAAGCTTTAAAGCAGGAGAACGAAACGTTAAAGCGACGATTGATGAAAACTAGGAGAGCACTAGAAGACACATTTGAACACTTATCCGCCTCAAACAAAAATAAAAAGAATGTCGAGAAAGCAATAATAAAGCAGCTAATGATTACGAAGAATGTCTTGAAGAAGACAAGGACATTCGAAGAACCTTTGAACGATTAACAGAGACTACAGACTGACGCATGAAGAACGAAAAAGAAGAAGCAGCATGACATTATTATTCGTGTGATTAGACGTTCTTGAGGATTTATTGTTCAATTACACGAATGTATCGTGTTTTGTCTATTTCTTATTTATTCTTTTCTAATATTTATGAGATGAGAAAACAAACAGTACATATCGGTACAAAGAGCTACGATATATACTCATATAGGCATTAACATGGTTACAAAATTTTTTAACAAGAAAGTTTCTAAACGAAAATATTTTCATATTGACAAAACACTATTTTTGTTAAAGACAGAAATACAAAAACGAAACGGAAGAGAGTTTATGATGACACTGTACATTAAATTTGTATATATTTATATAATAGAATACGCACATGTATGACATTTTCGTAGATTTTCTTTTTCCGTGGAGGAGTTCTTCCAAATGCTGATTACGGCGTCGTCGGACCGCGCCGTTTGTTATAGTCAGCATTTGTTCGTTGACGTATTTCGCTTTACGATTAACAGAAATTCGCGCGTGTGTGTACATAAGTATTTTATGTATCATAATGTAGAATCTCTCTGTACATAGTCACCATGAATAAAGTGCCATTGATATTTAGAATTTATACTACAAGTACGTATCCCTCGATAAGCGAAAGAAATGATTTGATCGTAATGATTTGATCGTAATGATGACGATCCGAAATCATTTCACATCACTTATGCGAATGATGGGATGCTTTTGATAATTCGTATCAATTGCATGTATATAAGTTGCATTTACTTGCAATTTTATTTGGATGCAAAATCGATATCCCGTTAACACTTACAGGTTATTTCCTCCTTTTGGTATTTTTATCTTATTTTGTTAACAATTAAGTCTCGTTTATGCAATTATCAATTTATCCAAAAGCAAATAAATGCAAATTTACGTAGCACAAGTGAAATGTACGTTTGTATTGTGTGATAAGTTTTTCGCAGTTTCGATTCTACGTGCGCGGGTGCGTCCAGTGTTGGGATTCGTGTAGAAATAAAGGTGCAACGGTATAAGATTATGATAGAATTTTTATTATCACTCCATGACTAGATAATAATATAAAGATCCGTAATAACTCATAGTGATGTGAAGTGTACGAATTGCGCCGGACACACAAATTTCTACGGCCGCGCGCACACCCGGCGAAGAGCGGAGAAGTACGATTCTTATACTGTACAACATTAATCTCTCTTACTAGTCTAATATACCTTTCTCATCCGTTTCCTTCCTTCGCCTTCGCGACAATCGCACCCGCTGGTAGAACGAATGCTTAGAGAAAAATGAGGGGAAGTATCGGGAGGGACGATAGAGGAGGGAGCGGAATACCGAAGGATTTTATGTACAATTCTACAGTGACGTTCTCACGTCTCTGCCGCTGCTTCCGCTCATGTTGCACGCAAGCATGCCGCTTAATAATAAATATGAGACACGTAGATCAATTACAGTACGATATATGTTAGTAACTGTTGATAACATTCTCAATAGAACTAATCCATAGAACCATAATGAGGAAAGTTGGAAGAATTACAACGATAAAGTATGAGATATGATATATATTCGTATATTTCATCTTATATACGATATAAAAAGAGTTATATGTATAATATAAGATGAAATATCCAGCAACATTATGTATATGTGTGTGTATTGTGGGCGTTCTATGAGGATGTTTTGCGTTGTCAATTGATTGAAGAACAAGAAAACAATTGTGTTTGTGAATCCAAACGTGCCTCATATATCATTACTGCGTTTTATGCTTAGTACTTATCGTATATTCAAGTCGATCAACTTTTTTCTCTTCTGTTTTGATTATTAACATGTCTTGCGATTTACGAGACGGGAACAGCCTCCCGACTTCTTCTCTCTGTATACACAATGGCGAGTCGCTTATGAATTATCGTTAATCGACGGCTTTACGTTGACCTCGTTAATCGATCAGCAGCGAGGTGCGGTTCAAAGTTAATGTAATTTTGATCGTTGACCGTGCAGATCGACGCGCGAAAGCAACAACGCATTGTAATTGAATCCGTGAGAGAAGCGGCGATCAGTTTTGTTCTAATGACAATAATAAAGATAATTTAACGCTCCGCGTATTTCGCTTGTTACAATCGTCGCGAGTGTCCAAAAGAGTGTACAACGTAACGAGCATCTCGCACTCGTGACTTTCGCACGTCGATCCTCTTGCTTAAACTTCAACTAGTGAAGAAAAATTTCTGAAGCAGATTCACTCGATTTTGAATATTATTTCTGTAAAATATAACACTTTGGTCACACCGAATCTAAGATAAAAGAAAGCAAAACTGCCTCGCATGGAACCGATGGTCCATGTGTACGCGGTCACTGCGAGTTAGACTTCGATTTTCCGAACTTGAAGAACAATACTCAAAATCGGAGACGTCCTCAAATCGGATCGACTTTCCCTATGAGTTTATAATTCGTACTATTTACAATACACATCTCAAGGTTCTAGCGTCACACGCAAGCAAGGTAGATCGCCAACGCACGCCCGATTTTCAGGCTCCAAGTCTCCGACTTTCACTAACACAACCAGACAATTTAGCAAGATGACAATCTTGCTAAAAATTCAGATTATTCACGCGCGCGCACATACACACACTCACCCAGCCACACACACATACACACAGTGTTCTATCTCGATATCCTCGAGAGTCTTAAAGACAAAAAGAAGATATTACGTACAAGGCCTCTATACACAATAAGAAAAGACGGAAATTCGATTCGATCGACGATTCGAAATTTCTCGCATTCACGTCTTCCTGCGAGCAGTAGACACGCTAAAACTGACATGGATCTATGCCAATTATCGTTTGATGTTCTTTAAAAACTTGTTTCATGGAAATCGGGCTCAAGCTGCGGTATGGTCATACGGATTATCGTATTCGTCGTGATGGTGCGAATCCGAGCCAATTGGACGAACGCATCGTATGCCGAGACTCTGCGACTGTAAAATCACTCGTTAATTGAACTGCAAATTTTTTCTTTCTTATACTTTGTGAAACAATTGTATTGCGAGAAGAATTTTATTGCAAGTGGAAACATAGCCTTCTGCACCTGTTAAAGATCAGGACAGTTATTGTGAAATTGATCCTATAGGAATAATTCTGTTGTCCGTTATTCCCGATAGGAATAATTCCGTTATTCTCCAGATTCTTAGTGCTGTCTAGAAAAAACAAAATTGTTCCGATGAGCAATCTTTGCGACTAGTTTTGTAATAACTGTTTAGAACGGAATGGACTAAACTGAAGTTGATTGACAATTGGTCGTTCGGCGTCAACGATGTTGGTTATCGAGCTCCTCTCACAATCCGGTCACAACGAATCGATCCGCGTATCGAACAGTTCGGGACGCGTTTAACACTACCTCCTATTTTATTATTCGACAATTAAACTCCGTAATACCGAGAAACGAGGAACTTGTACATAAATATATTTAGATTAATCGTAGTATCGAATGCGAATCATACGTGTGCCATTAAGTGTAACGTTAAACGGCGTCGATACGGCCGCTTGGATGACGAGAGATCGAGAGGGACGGTGTAAAATACCGGTATAGAATAACTTCGTACAATACAGACACACGCAAGCCGTATGAGACGTCGATGTCGATCACAATCTGTCGCCGACGTCGAAGATGTCGCGTCGTTTTCGCCAAGAGCTATCTTCAATAGCTTCCTCGCGACATCATCTTACACGATTTTCGAAATAACGAAATACTGAAATAACGTATATTATTGTTTTTAGAATTACACGATGAAAAGTATGAATGTCAAGATCTTCTTCTTAATTAGAATTAGATTAACGATAATCATCCTAATTAAGAAAAAGATATCGATCAACACGTTGGGTGTCGCGCACGATCTATCAGTGGACACATCTTGGTCTTCTCGCTATTAAGGGAGATTTTGTCATAATATCATTAATTGATATATAATTATCGATAGTGCACGCGACGAGAATGGAAAAGCGCATAAAATTGGCACAACACAGAACGTGTCAAAAAAGAGATTTTTCCTGAAGAAATGACCAAGTGGCTTACACGGGAAGACACCCCTTGGAAATGTATCAGACTTCACGATACACCTTATTCAGGGTGACCCAAATGTTCAGCGAAAAGTGAAGATTACTGGCGCTTTTCTCTTCGCAAAAAGACGATAACGACAACGACAGCGACGACGATGACGACGACGACAGCGACGACGATGACGACGACGGCAAGATCGCCGGCGTCAGGTGCACGCTCCGCGCCGGTAGCACGTTATTCTATACGGTATTTGGCGGCGCGCGGTTTTGACGGGTTATGTGGCGTAATGGGAGTGGGAGTGCGAATGGTGGTGAGCGTGCGGGGGTGGCGGCTCGCCGAGCCAGGAGTCCGGCGACGGCGGAAAATCGGGGTAACCGCCGCCACCGCCGCTACCACCGCCGCCGCCGCCACCTCCGCCGCCACCGCCGCCGCTGGACTCGTTGCTCAGATCCGACGCTGGTCCTGGCACCATGCCGCCCGGTCCCCCTGGAATCATACGGTTCGCGTCAGTCGTAAAACTATGGTACGTGCTCGGATAATTTAACCCTTTGCACTCGCATATCTGCTTTCAGTTGTCGGAGCCAAGTGAACGTTAATCAAGTGCTTTAATTATTTGCTTTCAAAATATTATATAATTAAGAGACACATGTAAAAAGACGTAACATTAAAGACACATGTAACAAGATCTTGCAAAATTTGAAAGTACATTTTTTCTCATATTTTGCAAAAAGAATAGATCAAAATATTTATTAAATGGCTGATACACTGAGCTACGATTAGATTAAAAATTATTATGACTGCAAAGAGTTAACGCTCAAGTCTTCCCGTCCCTTTCTAATCCTCGTGTATTGTCAGTTACAGAGAGACTCATTTTGAGGTGAATTGAAAGTTGAAAATCGAGCGTGAGTTGCGGAAAAATTATGTCCATCTAGAATACTGAAGAAGTTGGACGAATTCGAAGAAGATAATTTAATCGAGAGAGAAAAGGAGAATGAGGAGTCTACTAGAGCGTTGAAACTTCAGAGAGTAATCAGCCGATTACGTCAATAGATTAATCTCTTCCGAGCGCACCTCGGAAGTGATAATCCGCTTACCGAGGGTGGTGTACACCGAGAGACCGGCATCTGGCGGGTACGGGAACTGAGGTAAGGACGGTGATCTGGACGTTGAGAGATACGGCGGTGTCGTCGCACCCAGATAACCACGGGGTGGCCCACTCCCGGCTCCGTTACCACCGCCGCCTGGACTCGCACCTTCGCCATCCAGGCCCATGTTCACCACCGTGCCGTAGCTGTCGTTGCTCAAGTCTGTGGGCAGATCAGTTCGCTTTCAGAATTCTATGGTACGTGCTCGAATAATTTAAAGGAATAAATGAGGCATAAAGGTTAAAGGAATAAATGAGGCGTACACGGAAAACGCAGCGAAATATAAAAACCACGACATGACGTTAATTATTGTATTTGTTACTTCGCTGAAAATATACCAGAGTCTTTAATAAGTCAGTTAACGCTGTACTCAAATAGACGGAAATAGTTTTGACAGATGGCTAAAAAAATGCTTTCAACTTCGTACGGGGAACTGTCTGTTCGCGATGAATGATCGTTCCAACGTTAGAACTCGATAGTCGAAAGTCGAGGCGCGGCCGGCGATCGCATCCATTGTGTCTGAGACTTCCAGTACCCAGATGCTTGCTACCCGAGGGGAAGACGATCTCCTCAAATATTCAGGAGATCGCGGAGGCTAACTGCCGGCTCACCGTGTCCGAGATTTCAGGAAGATTGCGGCCCGTCCTTGAATTTATGCCCGCTATTACCTGTACTTACCCGGGAACGAGTACCGCGCTTAATATACCGCTCGTCCCGATCGTTTTAAACGGCGGCTGGCGATGATTAGGAATAATTTTGACGTCCTCGCAGAATTTAAGTGTGAACAATGAGTTTCAATAAATTTACTCGGAGAACTTCTCGAATGTAAGTATGCCCGAAATTTGGTTAATTGAAATGTTTGGTAATTGTGTAAAAGGTTTGGTAACTTTATCTGACCAACACTACCTTATGTGTTATTAGGATGAGAATGCAACTTACCGTGATGACCAAAAGTAGAGTCCAAGTCTACCTTCAGCTCGTCCTTGTCGAGAAGCTTATCATGCCTAGGCGAGTGACCACCAGCACCGGAACCCTTCATACTGCGAAAATATTGCGACCACCTTGTCCGACCAGCGTCTTTCTTCAGCCTCTTCTCTTTCGCCCTTCTACAGGTAAGAAATTATAATGATAATATTTTAAAATAATTGTCGCTGTGGACATCTGAAGTGCTTAATAACATTATTGTCTATCGTTATCATGAACGAAAACTTCCAGAAATAAACCCACAAAATAGAAAATATTGAAGTGAATTACTTAGTATCAGGAGCTTATAAAAGTTTGTCGGATTTTTAATCGTATTTCTTTTATTAATAATAAGAAAATAGTATAGGCCACGTTCAGTCAAAATATCTACTATCGTTACACGTCACTTTCTGCTATATTTCGAGTAATTGTCTGATTTCGCGCCTGAGAAGTGATTTATTTCTTGAGTCAATGAAATTATCGATAAACTTTTTCAAGTTTCTGATATTACCGAAATAATGACAATGTTTAATGATTCCGCCAAAGTTAGGTTTATGTAATAAATAACATGATTGCCTTTATGATATTTAGAGGTGTATTTTTCAGCGACATTTAAAGATAGTGTGTCGTATTATCAATAAAAATATCTGCAAATCGATAACTGTGTCGAAATTTCTAATGTGAAAGTTGTTATTTATCGTTCTAATACCGCGCGCGTCGATAAAGCCGCGAAAAAGAATAAATTCTGGAGATGTGATAAACAACTTTTGCTCATTGAACTATGTACCGCATATCAAGTACTTATGATAAATAACGTTCTCGTATCTCTAGCATCTCGTATAAATTTCTAGTTCCTATTATATCGCGTCATGTCTGTGCACTTTCTAAAAAAAAATGTATCTTATCTCGCAGCAGCAGACGTACATTAATCTCGCATTACATCAAATATCGGCGTGAGTTCGCTAGAAAACTATATTGCACGTGCACATTTTATAAATTTACGTATAGGTATAATATTTATCTCGAGTCATTGATAGAAACCTTATTTACTTATCCTTCGTGTTATTTTCACGGACGCTTTCTAACACCATTCTCACTTGATAAGCGACTACGGATCCGCTTTTACAGATAAAACATTTTTCTTTAAAGAGCGAAACAGATACTTTGTCATATAATATCACGTAGTGCCACTTGAGCGATAAGAGGGAAAAATGTACAAACGTGTGGCTGGAAAGTACAGTGTCTGCGAGTATTGCAATCATAGTGTATGTAGGACAAGCTTCGTCGTATTTTGTAGACATCTTAATTCTCTTATTGTATATGATCCTTATTTTATTCGAATTTTCTCAATTGCGAGGCAAAAATTTGCTTTGAAATTAATGAATGTCCATTTAATAATTAATTACGTTATTTCGTATTTTTTAACGTTGAAAGGAATTGAAATATATTTTTTCGGATTCTTTAGTCACGAATATCTCGATTGCTTCCATTATAAATGGCTTCAGAAACCATACCAGAAACCATGCAGATGCAGAATCCTAACGATGAGCCGGTACCTCCCTCTTAATTTGATGGTATCGTTAGGACCCTAAATTAATTTTTCTCGTAAGACTTCTATATGAATTATCTTTCATCTTTACTGAATTCGTTTTTACCGGATATGATTTTAAATTCGGAATTTATATCGATTCCACTGAAATCGAGAAGAGTCCTCATCTCTCTTCATCTCATTGTACGATATTGGACGCGTGTCTAGTTTGACTGCATGTAGGATAAACTGAAGAAAACGCCTGGAGAAACCTTATAAGTGCTATTCGATTTGTCTTACCTATTTTGAAACCAGACTTGAACGACGCGCATATCGAGGCCGGTGTCTTGAGACAGCTGTTCTCGCACATGTCTCGCTGGTTTCGGACTGGTGTTGTACGCCAGCTTGAGAGTCTCGAGTTGCTTCGCCGTGATCGTCGTTCGCGGCCTCTTGTTAGGTTGATCACCGTCTATACTTCCCCCGTCCGCTAATTCTGGAATTTGTTAGTTATCATATATTACATATTACACGCGTGAATTTTTATTTAACCGATCAACTCTTAGAATTCGTTAATTATGTCAGAAATATCCAAGAGTCTACTTATAGTTCCTCTGAGATATATCTTACTTTTTATTCACTTCTCCACCGGCGAGAAAAATTACAAAATTATCCGGAAGAATTTTTCCATCGCGTTCTAATCTTAAGAAAAGAATTTATTGTCGTTCATGTATCTGTGCATATACGCGAGATAAAAATGCAGAAGTCAACGGCGAAAATTATTTATTCGGGATTAAACCGACACAGTGGGAAAAAAGTCATAGGTTAATGAAATTACGCGGCGGAAAGATGAAATTCGCGAGGAAGAACAGCCGCCCTTGCGAGAATGGCATCTGCCAGTAGAGAGAGCGTAGAAGGTCAAAGGGTAACGGGTAGAGCTTATCTCACCTTTCGCCTTTGCCTGCTCGTAATCGGGCTTGCAGACGAGCTTCCTGTCTTCCATGAGATAAAATTCGTCGCCGGTGTCCAGTTGGCGAGAGCAAAGGGCGCACGAGAAACACGTCAGATGATAAACCAATTCCTGCGCCCTTCGTACCACCTGCGAAGGCGCCAGACCTTGGCCGCAGCCCGCGCATTTCGTCCCGAAACGCCTGCCACACCAACAACATACAACATTTTCACATTACATTCACACATTAATGACAAAACTATACGCTATCGTATGCATATAAATTGTTATCGCGATTCGTCCGATTATTAACGCGGCGGTGAGAACGACATGGTGCTTATAAAGTTCCAGGACGATACTTGCTGATGACGATTAGTAAAAACGATAATTTCTTATATGATAATAAATAGAAAAGAATAAAGAAATGTAATTCATTCTTTGTTGTCAGATTCGGCGAAGTCGCGAGAACGATTCCTCGATGGTGACGTTCGAAACAAAAGATCGGGTCGGCAAGAGTATGAGAGATAGCGTGGCGAGGAGTATGGCTAAAAGAAAGACGATTTAGCTTCGAGGGAAAGAAAAATGGCGCCTTGTCTTATGGACAAATGAGGAAGAGCACGCTACCCTCTCTCCCGACGGAATCGATACCGGAATACTCGATATACGTGCTTCGAGGAGAGCAACATTTCTTCCGCCTTCCGTCATACATACTTCGTTATTACCAATAAGTCGATAAGCCGAGTAACAATAATGTCGGATGAAGTCGTCGGTAAGATTCATTTAATTTCCTTTTTTGATAAATTTGCATCGAGGTTGAACCGTTTTCTTGAAGATACGATCAAACGACTGTAAGCCAAATTTCAATTGGAATCGTAAGCCGTGATAAATGATTCAGATAAAACGCGCGCAAAAAAATTATTTTGTTGCGCACAGAAAGATATTTTCAGTTATAAATGTGGTATAAATATATTGTGAATATATCTTTGAATTATAAAAGAATAATTCAAGCGGTTTCCCGAAATATAATTAAAACGTCTATATCGAGGAAACACTTGAAATAATTAATTAATATACTTATTAATTGGAAGTACGAGTTAATTATTCGAATTTTAAAATTGTGCAATATTAATTTTACAGGAATAAAAGAGAACAGAGTGCTTCGCAAAATTTTAATTGGAAACCGCGCCGTATTTCGAAAATATTCAGAGTTATGTTAACAACTATTGATGCTTACTTGAAGAAGTCGTCCTTGCAAAACACATGACCGTTCCTCGCGAAGCACTTATCAGTCAACCTGGCACCGCAGTCCCGACACGTGAGGCATCTTGCATGCCAACACCTCTCCAACACCCTTAAAACGTATTTGTCCAAAATAACTTCCTGGCATCCCCCGCACTTTGGTATCGAGGCTGTAACATAACGATTAGAGCATAATAAGTAAACTGGCTTTCTAAGTTGAAGCACGCAACGATAAGTACTACAAGGTAATAACAATATCGGCGATTTGAGGACCATAAGATGTCATTTCAAGAAAGTGTAGCAAAGATACAATATATCTACTTGCAGTTTAAGATAACATTTTATTGTATACTATTACAATGAAGTAATTAATCTCACTATCAATGCCTGTCTATTACGCGTTAACACTTCTCGGTGTTACGTCAATATCTCCGGACAAGACGGTAGTACACACGCGTTACTTTATCTTTTCGTTCACTCCTCGATAATTGATATAGCAATTATTTTCAGGCATCTTTGGGATAGAAAGTCACATCGACAACTTGCAGGAACAAACAACCCGAAGGACGTCGAGTAATCTTGATATTTCCGGTGATCTTGTCTATTGCAGCTCGTCGACACTTACAGTAGAGGATCTCCGGGATATGCGAAGGCAGACCGAGCTCAATGGCAGGTTGATCTAATGGGTGCATGTCTCCGTGCGATATCGCAGAGCCGACGCTGTCGATACGATCCACGCTGCTGGCTTCCTGGCGAACGTTGCGCGACTCCGGACTGCTCTGCGGCGTCAGGACGTCGTGCCGTCGCGATTGGTACATCCCTTCTAGAGGAAGAGCCTCGCACCCCAACATCTCCAGACTTATCATAGTCATAGCTGCCACTTTCGCGCGCGACACTCCACTCGCTGGTATTATCTAAGCGTTCTCGCGACGTGGGCTCGAACCATTCTACGTCACGAGACTACCGAAGGAGAGAGATATTGCGATCTCGTCTGATCGCGATCCTTTTCACAGAGGTGAAAACAATTATCTTCAACGCTCAATATTTTCGCGAAGGTTTAATGCCGGGCACTGATTGGAGATGACGGCGTTTTACACAAAATCCAAGCTTATCTCAAGGACGATTTTAACACAACTTTGCAGAGTGGTCTTATACAGGATTATTTCTCAATTTTTGAAAGCGGATATATTGTGCAAAATAAGACAAAACAGACTTGTCTGTCTTCTTTTCTGAGCTACGATGTCGTTGAAGGTTTTTAACAATTGAATGTTTCGGATCCGAAGAAGTCATCACCTTCGCACTTGCCTAGATAGCAACGCTTGATCAGTGCTCGAAGTTTATGGATTGCACAAAATTTGTTCAAACAAGTTTTTCCAGGTATACGACGTGGTATCTTTTGTTGAAACTTTCTTTAGATTATAATCGTAAATAACACTGATATTACGCGTATTTGTTGCAGAGTTTTACAATCCGGACAAACAAGTCAACTATTCGTTAACTTTATCTTATCGCACCAATACTTCTTTGAACATCGACGCCTTTGGAGGTCAGCTTGTCGTCTTCAGCGAAAGTGCCACTGTGTAGAATTACGTTAATCAATCCAACGTCCAGTAATGTCTCCTCTCCACGATGATATTTCCTTGCAATTTCTGGAGTATCATTTTCTTTCAATGGCCGTTTACTCCACCAAACACTAGTTAAGTTTATGAGAAATAAGTAACACTGGTATCTTGCTTTATAAACAATAACACCTGTTCATTTTTTCTTCCAATTGACAAAACCAATTCCAAAACCCAACTCTAACATTCTACTTTAATTAGATCTAATTATCTCTTTCTCTATTAAGATTAAGTTTTAAACACATTTTTATTCTCGACAACAGCCATCAAACAACACATTTCCAATCATCGATAACGAAACTCGATAATCTTGACTTGCAGAGATGATCAACGAATTCACATCATCAACAACGGATCAAAATCTTCAATCTTGACTGGTCCAGGCACGTTGTCGACCTCCTGCAAGAGAATCTTCTCTACACATATGAGGATAAGAACTGCCAACAAGATAAGCACAGTGCGAGGGTACGCGCACGACTGGCTGATCAGCGACTCATGTTGCTTGTGCGCACGTGACACACGTGGGTGTGGCGGCTCCTTGGTGGGGCACATGTCTGGATTATTGGGTGCGGACGGCACCCACGCTAACGTTCTGTTGGGTGCCGATTGGAGAGAAGCTCGACCGCCTCCAATATGGCGCACGCCACCGACACCGAACGACTCCGGCGCACTGGGGATGCTCTGCTACCCCTGGTGCTTCCAGCGCGATAGATACGCGGAGGGATGAGAGAATGAAGCAGCGGATCCGGAGGAGTGGTGGCGAGGCAACCCCGCTAGTCGCGCTGATGGTGGACGATATTAATCCTTTCAGACAGAAAGTCAGAGGTGCCTTCGGTAAGACGGCAGTGAAGCCGATCTTTGTGCGCGTACATTTTTTTGCTCGGCTTACACTCTCGTTGTCGAGGGTTATGGTCATGCGTGGGTCTCGAAGAGAGTACGTCAAGTTCCACGAATGTTGAGGTTGATGGAACGAACGATCGCTGCTTTCCCCAAGCAGATCCACGCTAATTTCCTTGTAGCTGCGAGAAGCGATAAACGGGCAATGAAAACAATAAGCCCGACTATGCATTCCAACGGATAAAGTTCAATTTACCCGAAGTAAAGTTCAGATTTTCCCGATTTCCAGTTTTCTATGCAAAATGCTGCTATCCTCGAAGAAAAGCTCACCAGACCCATTATAATGTCACATTCATTAAAGATGCAAAGCCAGCGAACTGTGTACACCTTTATCGCGGATCAACAAATTCGCGGAAAAGTAACGAGGGAGGAGGGAACTGAGGATACCTTATTTTATACTGGATATTGAGAATCCCGGAAAATAAGAGCGTTGTCTGCGCTTAATAACGCGACACACCGAGTCCGCGACTTATCGGTGCGTCGCGACGGTCGTATTCATTGGAATCGTCGCGCAAAAGAATTCGGGAATCATCCCCCGGGAGTTCCTTTGAGCATGGGCCACTGCTTTCCTTCGATTCGGTAAGCAACGAGGAGCTGCCGTAAGTAAAGATAGAGGCTTGTAGTAGGAGGAGAAGATGAAGAAAAGAAAGAAAAAAGGACAGACGGAGAAAGAGAGAGAGAGGGCGAGGACAAAAGGAACCGAGCAAAATTAAGAATGGTCACGGGGATGAGGGACGCCATTTTATAATCTTGCTCGAGATCATTCGCGTATATTTCTTTTCCGTTCACCTCCTCCGCGTTTCTTCCTTTTTTTTTATCCTTTCTTCTGTTCTGTTCGCGCATATTCGACTGTACGCGGATCAATTATACGCGCATTTATACGCTGAAAAAAAGAATTTGTTGATTTAACTAAAATTACATTATTAATTAATTATTTTTAGCCCTAACCAAAATTTTAATTAATTAATTATTTTGTTACTCCAACCATATTTTTGGTCGTTCTAACATAAAAATGATAGTAGTAATACACACATAAAGTTAGTAGAATTTAGTAAATCAATGATTTTTCTACCGTAATTTATAGTAATTATTTTTCTACGTAATTATAATTACAAATGCCAAACATTTTTTTTCAATGTGCGTGTTGTTAGATTGAAGGACGCGCTCGCAACGACAGAACGGTCCTTCTCGATCTCGGTCTATTTCCAGCCGATTATTTTTCTTTTTTTCACATGCAATTCGTGCGTAGTTGATTGGCTTCGTGACTTCGATTTTCGCATAGAACATACACATGCTCGTACATGTTTCACACAAACGGACACGTCGATGAAAATCGCACGGAGACGCGCTGATCGATGCATGACATTTCCCTAACGCGTCGCGACGATCGTTAAATTTTCCACCTGACCACAGGCTAACAGATGGCACGGGGTGCCTTCTATGCACACGGTTGATGCCCATAAAATCTGTCATGCATACCCGTCGTCGATATTACCGTCAAAAGGGTGTATCGCCGAAAATAAGCTGCGCGATAAATGAGCGGAGCTGCCTGATTTCTATATCAACTGTCACGCCACATGAATACATTAAATATGGACCGCGTTAAGATCACGCAGAACACATTAAATAATTTATTAGTGAAGGAAGTCTCCCGTGTTAGCTGTGTACTTGCACGCACGTACATTAGATTTTATAAACTAATTCCTTTAGGTTCTAATAATTTTTAGTAGAAAATCGGTGAGAACATTTTATTTTATAGACATGAAAAATTACAAGTACTATATTTTCATACATTTTGAGAAAGACTGTATGCAGAGGAGAAAATGGTTCTCTAAAAATATGTATTTTTTCTGCAGATATCACGTGAATACAAACAAGCTACAAAAGGAATTTCTATGCCGTATTATATTATTTTCATATTACTAATACTGCATATTATATTTTATACTTTTGAGCTTCTAGATCTCCGGGAAACTTGCGATAACGAAGATCCAACTTGTTCGCCGACAGCGAAGTCGTCATCACGACTTTCCGCGAACGCAATTACCGTGCGCCACGTCGGCTTTCCTCTCACAAATCGAACAGGAACTCTCGACCTCGGCGTCTACGACGACCCTATCTCGAATTCGGCGACGGGGGTGTCTTTGCGATTGCGCGACCTCGTGACTTCCGTGGGCGTCCTCACCGAGCTTCGATCACGCGAACCCACCCTTTGTCGGTTCCGCTGCACACACGTCGACACGCCTCCAGGAGTCGTCCGTCACCGTAAAAAGCATCGCCGCGGGGGGTTGCAGGAAGACCCGTTGCGGAAGGGTAGAGGACGCGTCGAACCGCTCGTTTCGCTCACCTACACCTAGTTCGCGCAGGGTTTATAGTTGCGCGCGGTTTTATCGCTGCGGAGCTTCTGGTGTCGCGCCCTTAGGGGGAGACTTGCTCCAACTCATTCTGAGTGGTCGTGAGAAAAAGTCCACGCTTTAGTTAATATAGCGGATGGCGGGTATACGTAGTATAAGCAAGTATCTCGTAATTATTCCGTTTATTCTTATAATGATACTTATTATGATATTTTCTATGATCTTATTATGATATATTTCATATCTAATTTATATATTTATTAAATTTACTAGATGAACCTGAGAGAAAGAGAGAGAGAA